GAGAGAGAGAGAGAGAGAGAGAGAGAGAGAGAGAGAGAGAGAGAGAGGGATTCACTGAATCCTGAGTTTACATTTATGTAATGAATGACAGTGTCTTTTGACATTATTGAATATTTAAGTATCCCCTTTATTCAAGTTTCTATAAAAATACAATATATGTAAAAATAAGCAAATGATTGACAAAGGGAGAAGCAATACAGATAACAAGCCAGCAGCCAATTGCTTCTCAGGCTCCTAACTAGTCTCTACAAGTGGCAAACCAGTGGAGCCAGGTCACATAGGGATATAGATGATTTTTTCATTTCGACCAGTAGCTTAGGCGTAGAAGGAAGACTATAGCTGGGAAGGGAGCACTGCTAAGTCCGGATCTCAGAGGTCCCCTCACTCAACCTTTCCCCTTCCATTGCAGGAGCCAGACAGTGGCCAACCTCTGAACAACCGTGGTAAGTTCACGTTCCCGGGCCTTTGAATCTCAGCTCCTGAGTGAGCCACCGTTTGTGTGAATGCTATGTGTGACATCAGTCCACCGTCCATCCATCATTCAAATGAAAAGTACTAAATACTCATACATTCCAGGATTTGTTCTTTAAAAAAAAAAAAAAAAGGCTTGGTCTCTGGGGAATATGACCAGGAGGCCTAATGACCAAGAACAGTGACTCCCTAGTCTTCTCTGTGCCAGGCCCTGATCCTTATGAAGTTGGGTTGGACAGTTGTAGCGGAGTGTAGATTCTGGTCGCTTGGAGTTCATGCCACCAAGAATTCGGGACACTGGTGTTTTAAATAGCTGTGGATTCCTGACTAAAGAGGACAGGTGGATGAATAAATAAAAAGCTCCCAGTTTTAAGGGTTAAACCTCTCCTATCATATTCTCTCGAATACCTACTTCTGATAGCTAACACATCGGCAAGACGAATGAATGGGGAGCACCTCCATCAGACAATGGCCATTCCCGCTCATGTTAACGTCTTATTTGAATCACAAGTTAATAATAACCAGAAACAATAACCCAGTGAGTAGAAACAGTACCTCCTTTGTACTCTGGAGTTAATGTAACAGCAGACCACAGAGTCCCCAGAGAGCACAAGGCTTCCCGTGGTTCTTCCTGTGCCTCTCCCAGTGAACAAACCCAAGAACTGCCAAACCAGAACACCTGGTGGGAAGGAAGCTGAGAGGAGAGACTGTGCAGCTGCTCAGGTGATGGAGACCGCTGTACAAACCAGGCTGGATGAGTCAGCCAGTCACGGGTGGGGGTGGGGGTGGGGAGGTGGGGATCTGAATTCCTGAGTCCCAGAGGTCAGGAATAACACTTAGGTCATTAAACACCAGAAAGCCAGCCTGTGGATGTGACTCTGTGTGTGTGGTGTGTGTGTGTGTGTGTGTGTGTGTGTGTGTGTGTGTGTGTATGCTTGTGTGTGTGCTCGTGTGTTTGCTGAGTTAGTTGGGTCAGTAAATGAAGTCAATTACACAGCTTAGAAGGTTCAGAGTACCAAGTCCAGAAGTGAACGTGACAGGAATCCCTGTTGTCACTCAAGAGGAAAGGGACAGGGGAAAAACCATCTTCCTGGAAGCTGTATCTAGAAGCAAATGTGCAGGGTAAACAAACAGATAAAACAACCACCACAGGCAGGGAGGATGTTTCTGAACTTTAGCTAAGTTCCTTCCTGAGGAACATCCCTCCCAGAGAAGGGAAGCAGGTCTTCCCTGAGACCAGCCAGGACACAGCTTAGGGCCTGGGCACAATCCAATAGATTGTTCACTAACCACGACAACAAATCAACCTCATGTCCCCTGAAGCAGGTGACCAGTAAACAAACCACGCATGGATGACTGAACAAGGTATTGATGTGTCCCTGGCCACAGGAACAGAATAATTCTGAAGACTTGGTGTGAGGACTTTAAAACCAGGACCAGCTAGTATTATTGATAATCTGCTTGGTGCCAGACACTAACAATTTACAGGCCATGGCATGTCTTAGTCACATTCTCAGTGCTGGGCCTCTGTACAGTTCACACTCTCCATTAGGGGGGCACAGAGTTTTTGAGTTTCCTTATCGACAGTCATTGATACCGTCATCTATGGGGCACTGGCCTCTGGAAGACATCAGTCTGAGTTTCAGATGAGCAGAGAACTGTGAGTAGAGCCAGACACGGTATTAGCACTGTCTGAGGCAGAATGAGAGCTGAGGGGAGGAGGGTGGACAGGATGCGTCTAAGAGAACAGAGCCGAGGGTGGATCGTGTCCCCTTTCATGGACACTAGTTGAGTGTCTGCTGTAGGCTTTGCTCCAGGCACTGGAGACTCAGAAGTGCACAAAAGATGCTGGCTTCGTGGTGGCTTCATTTCCATTTCAGGGAGCGTTGGGAGGAGACAAAAACGTGCCAAAGTAGGTCAGCAATGATAAGTGCTTTGGGGGGAAAGCAGGCAAGTGGGGGAGGGTGGGAAACATGCGGTGGTCGCACCTTAAACAGGAAGATCTAGAGTGGGCTCACATGAAGGAGACTTGAAGGAAGGTTGGAAGACGCTGAGGGAGTGAGCCATGTAGGTGTGGAAGCTGGAGAGCCCGTCTACTGTTGTCTAGGTTTCTGAAGCTCTTGTGCTTCTTGCCGAGCTCCCCTTGGGAGAAAGGCCCCCAAATGCCTCCTGAGTTCATTGCCCGAGGAAAGGGACCTGGAAAGACCCAGAGCCTGTCTCCGATGCCAACTGAGGACTTTTCACAACCTTGTCATGCCCCATCTGCTTGGCTAGCCATGAGTTCTTTTGGGTCGCTGTGACCGATACACCTGACACAAACAACTTCACGGCATTCTGAAATAGTTCCAGAATTGTTTCAGTCCATGAAAGAGTGTAACAGAGCAATTCACATGACATTGCAGAAAATGGGATATTTTCTGCAGAAAAGGAAATTTTTAAAGTAGGCAAAGAAAGTAGACTCCCAAATATAACCCCTTGGGGATCTACTTTCTCCAGCTAAGCCTTAACTTCCCAAGTTTCTAGACGTTTCCAAAATAGTACTGCCATTTGGGGACCAAACATTCAAAACTAAGAGCCTGTTGTATCATTTCAGATTCCAACTATGACACTGTCTGAAGCAAACGTGTAACTGCTTGTGTGTTTGCTTGTTTGTTTGTTTGCTTGTTTTACATTTTTCAGGCAATGATAGCCTCCTATGTGAGCTCCTTGGTCCCAAACTCTTTCATTTCAACCCTCTTCCTCCCTGATGAGTGAATCCTCTCTAGGTAACAGTAGCATCACATACCCTCCCTTGTTCAAAGCGTTCAGTGGCTCCTCAGTGCTGTCAGGACAAATGCCAAACCTTAGTCTAGTTTCTAAGTCTCCACAAAAGGACTTTGTTGTCCTGCCTCCCAACAGGCTTTGACCCACTTCATAATTGAGGACACTAGATGCTCACAGTACCCCCTCCATGCCTGGGTCTCAACTGTCCCAGAGACTCTGTTCCCTGTTTCTCCATGTATCAAAGTACCACCCGCTCAGGAAGCCTCTCCCAGCGTTCCCCAGGTGATGTCTCTACTCTACCTTCTTCCACCTGGTGGACTGCCATTTGTCCTGTTTGACTCTACCCCCAGACTCTAATCTCCTTAAAGACAAGGACCACACTGAGGACTTGCTGTGTGTTGGACTAACTTGGAGGTGGGCCCACCATAATACATAATAATAACTCACAAGTGTTTATCAAAACTCTGCTATAGCCTCACTGTATGAGGAGGCAAAAATGAAGGCAGTGGGCTAGCTTACTTGGCAGAATATAGCCCAGTTAGCAGAATGCTTGCCTAGCATGCATAAACCCTTGGGTTCCATCCCCAATACCGCAGAAACCAGTGGTTGTGGTACATGCCTCAAATCCCAGCACCAGGAGGATCAAAAGTTCAAGGTCACCCTCATCTACCTATAGAAAATGAAGCTAGCCTGTGCTACGTGATCTAGCTCTCCTGCCCTTTAAGAAAATGATCAGAGAAACAACTGGAGTAAAGGAGTGACGGGATAAAGTCTAATGTTCTCCAGCTCTGGAGGGTAACTGCAGGTGATGACATTTGATGTCCCAGAAGAACTAGTGAGAGAATCTTGGATGTTCCCCACACACACACAGAAATAACTGTCTGTCACGATAAACAGTAACTACCCTGATCTCACCATTAGAGATTACATACGTGTATTGAAATGTTACACTATACCCCCCAAAATACAATTATATGTTAATTAAAAAATAAAAATATATTCAAGAATGGGACAGGATGAATGATAGCATTTCATATATATATCATGGTAAGGGCCCAAGTACATGCGTGACGAGCTTGGGCCCCTCCCAGGGCAGGTACAGGTCAGACCCGACAAGAGTGACATTTTATACAAGGTAGGGCAAGACAAGGGGAGGCAGCAGGAGCTGCCAGCTCCTTTGAGAAATGGTTATGAAAGATAGGTGAATCTGGGCGAGGGAGGGGAGGAGGAGGGAGAAGACGTGATCACAAGTCTCAGCCTTGCCTGCAGGGATACTCCCCACCAAACTGTCCCCAGGGCATCCTGACACCGGCCAGGAGCAGAGGGCTATGAGTCTTGGCAGGGCTGGGTTCTGAGTGCTCACTGTATGCTTGTCCCTCTGTCTTTCTCCTTGCAGATGTCCCTCCCCTTCGCAAACCCCGAAGGCCCCTGGACACCTTCAAAAAGGTGGGGATCCCCATCATTGCAGTGCTGCTGAGCCTGCTAGCCATCGGAATTTTGGCCCTCCTCAGTGAGTTACAGCCCCTCCCACAGCTTTCACCCCACCCCACTCCCCTGTGTGGGCCCCCATTTTCACCCTCACCCCCTCAGCCAGCCACAGCCCTCGACAGTCCTCCCACCCACAGTGATAGGCAGGTGATTCGCACAAAGCTTTTGGAGGGGGGGGAATGAATCTTCCTCGTGTATCCACCCCTGCTTTGGAGGGAGCCTTCTAAGTGCAAGGGGAAGGTGAGCGCATCCCCCAGTTCTCCCAGATGGCTTCTCTTCCAGATGGTTGCTATACACGTGGCACCCATTCCAAACCCACACAGGCAGTGGCAGAGGTGCCCACCCCCAGCCGCCTCCTTCCCATCTCCTGCAAACTGACAGCTGGTGGAGGAGCAGGGTGAGGGGGCTAGATGGAGTGTCTGTGCACCCCTACTGTCTGTCAGGCTAGAGAGTATTCCTGCCTGTAGAGATCGGAGAGAGAGGAGATACTAGGGAAGATGACTGGGCAGGTAAAACCCTCTGCCCACCTCAGTTCCTTCTTCAGGAACCCTGATGTCATCCTTGGCAGCAAACTCCGTGACAGTGATTTCCAGAGTTACAGTAGGGACTGACCACAGATTGTATAACAAGGAACTGAGCATAGGAGACAAGCTTAAAAGTCAGGGATAGGGATCATGGCTCCCCATGGGACCTGTGTGCCCAGAAAAAAGTCCACTGAGCCCCTCAAGTATGAATTGCCTTAAAGCATCACGAACAGTGATGAGAAATCTTATGTGAAGAACCTGTATTAAAAACCAAGAACACGTAGTAGGCAGAGCCGGGACGCAGGGTGTGTAGCACTGTACAATCTGGGCATGGGTTGCCCTTGGGGAGTCTTACTTAGAGCTCCCCAAGCTCTTACTTAGAGCTTACTTACACTTGCAGCAGACACCACTCATTGGATGGCGCACAGAGATCTTCTGCTTGAACCCTTAACTCTACAGTTGGACACTGAGGTTCAAAGCCCAGGCAAGGCAAACAAGGACAGAGGCTGGGGTGGGACCCCAGTTCTCTGGCTGACCAGATCCTTGTCGTATCCACAGTCAGACACCACCTCAATCCTTGAGAGCCCAGGGTGGTTATGAGATGTATAAAACCCCAAATCATTTCTTCTTGACCTTAGTTGGCCCAACCGTATGCAGTTGTGTTAGTCAGCTTTCCATTACTGTAACAAAACACCAGAAAATAATTCCCAAAAGTCCTCTGACCCCCAGCCAGGGATGTGCATGCTCATACACATACATGCATGCACACACACTAAGGAAATTATTTATTTTTAAAATTGGCTGCCTGCCTCCAGCCAGCCTGACTTTCAGAAAAAGCAGCCCCTCTCTGTCCCCAGTCGCCTGCTTGACCCCAGCCCGCTCTGCCCCTCCCTAATGTTCCTTCCAGTCAAGGTGGTTCTGGATAAATACTACTTCATCTGCGGAAATCCCCTGACCTTCATTCAGAGGGGCCAGATGTGTGATGGCCACCTGGACTGTGCCTCGGGGGAGGATGAGGAATACTGTGTCAAGAACTTCCCTGAGAAGCCCAGAGTGGCAGGTGAGTCCCTGGACTGAAGGACAGGGACAGTGGGGGATGTCTGCTCAAATGTGGTCTCTGCCCTGCTTCTTTCTCAGTTTCTAGCCCTGGTAGAAAAGGTCCCCAAGAGCAGGGTTGTGGCACACCTACCATTAGATCCCAGCACTGGACAGGACACACTCTCGGGAAGGGTTAATGGTCCTGAGGGGACAAGGGACTATTGCTGATACTGGAATGGCTGTAGCCACCTTTCTAGAATGCATGACCTTGAAGGTTCCTCCTTGATAATTCCAAGAGGCTAGAAATGTCACCATGTCATTTAGCCAGCCACCCAGTCTTCCACTCATGGACAGAGGAAGGTGACTGAAGGAGCGAATGTTTCAAGCATAAAAGCTGGTCTCTTCCAGCTTGGATTGACCCGCCAACACTTTGTCCAGAAGACAGTTAATAAGATCCTTTGAGAGGCAGGGCAGAGTGACTTCCTGTGCATTGGCTCTTAATTAGTAAATTCAAATGCCTATGGGTACCTGCCATCCTACTACCAATGAGGTTTTCACTCCAACTCTTTCTCTGACCTTTCATGGAGAAGCTACCAGGTCCCTGGCTGAGATGTTTCCCCAAACTGGGCAAGCTGTGTAGGCCATGGTAAAGCAATTATGTCACTGGTCATCAAAGCTGATACCTAGCTGAGCAAAAAGAGAGGCTGTCAATCATTGTCCCTGGGCAGCTGGTCAGGCTTCCCCATAGCTGCCATCCAAATTAGGTTCTAGTCAACTGGAAGAATGTGCCTTGATGTTGAATGTGTCCTCAGTTCTGGCTTGGGGAGCAGTGGTAAGGGAGGAGGCTGGTCTCATGATAAGTTCCAAGGGGCTGGGCTAGAGTGGTCCCACCCTCCAACTGATTCAGGCTCCTTCCCTCCTAGTTCGCCTCTCCAAGGACAGGTCCACCCTGCAGGTTCTGGATGCAGCCACAGGGACCTGGGCCTCAGCCTGTTTTGACAACTTCACAGAAGCACTGGCCAAGACAGCCTGCAGACAGATGGGCTATAACAGGTACTCAATCAGGGCCATAGGAGGCTGTCACCTCACGCCAGCAGCCTTTCTGCCTTTTTTCCTTCCTTCCCTCCCTCCTTCCTTGTCTCCTTCCTTCCTTCCTTCCTTCTTTCCTTCCTTCCTTCCTTCCTTTCTTCCTTCCTTCCTTTGTGCTTGCCTGACTCTCTTCTTCCCTCCCTGCCTCTCTCCCTTCTTTACTTCCTATTTCTTTTCCCTAAAACCACAGGCATGGAATTCATACAGAACAGTGTTTGAACTCCAGTGCTCTCATTAGCAAGCTGCATGAAGGTTAAAAGGTTAATCCCCCAGCCTCAGTTTCCTCAGAGTTACCAGTGTCAATCTCATAAGAGATTTCTTTTCTCCCCAACTACCTCTCTTTTGTGATTTTGTGAGACGTCTTCCCCGACCATAACCCAAAACGAATTTAATATGCAATGTCATCTAGATGAAAATTTACCAGGAAGGAAGACTGGAGGTGTAGCTCGTTGGTAGAGCATTTACCTGACATGTGCAAAGCCCTGGGTTCCATTCTCCACACTTGAAAACAAAAATAGCAAGGACTAGCCTGGTTCTGTTGGGGCCCCATCACCAGAGTCCCAGCTCTCTCAGGGGATTGCAGAAGCAGGTCCCAATCTGGAGTGGATGGAAGGTACATGAAGGGTAATTAGCATTATATATATTTTTGTTCATTTGATCTTGGCAGACAGCTCAAAGCATGGTTATTATTAAATCTGTGTTAGAAGTGGGCTCTGAGAGAGTAAGCAGCTTCCTCAGGCAGAAGCTAGGAGGTAGAGGGATGGAATCTCTACCAGCCACGACCCGATTCCTGGACACCATGAGTTCTCATAAGCATCTGTTTGTACAGCGAATTCTCTCTACTCACAAGGCTTCATCAGAGACGAAAGGGAAAGTGAGAACTGGTCCCTCCAGGAGCCTGCCTAGAGAGGATGGAAAGGAGCCCAGGTGATCTGCTGCACAAGGGATCACACTCTCCCTAACAGGCTGTACTTGTCAGGACTCTAAGAAACAGTCCAGAGACAAGGCAGACTACTAGACAGACATTGCCTGTCGATCACAGAGTTTTCTCCATAGATTCCTAAAGCAGCCTCAAGGTTTTGTACAGAACATGTTCTGGGCAGCCAGTATCAACCCATATAGCCTCTGTCCTTTCTGCCCCCTCTTTATAAAAGTCCTGCTCTTTTCCCTCCTGAGGAGGAAAACTCCCAGCACCCTCTAGAAAAGGGACACCTGTCAGTCACCCCATTTCCAAGGACAGCATGCCCAGTACCTGCTGTCCCCTATTTCCCCTGCAGCCATCCCCTCCTCCACTGCAGACCAGCCAACTGCAGTGTCAGCTGGACCAGATGCAGCAGGCTGTCTCAGTTATGAAACCGGGAGTTTCCTGAGGTTCTTAAAGTGGCAGACTCCCAGAATTCCTACACTTCTAGAAAGCACTGAAGCACCAGACAGCACCACCCGACCTCTTCAGCTTTAGGATAGTAAAGTTCATTAAATCACTGCCCAGGTTAGCTTTATTGGGCATGTTTGCCGACAGCTTCCTCTCTCCTTCTGGATCAGAGCTCTCTGTTCAAATCTATACTTTCCTTCCTGCCTGGATTGGAAGGAAACCTTTCTTACCTAGGAACACAAAGCCATAGGTGGTCCAGTGTAGGAGTCAGGGATCATCTGGCTCACACATCACCTTATGGAGAAAATTAGGACTCGGGGAGACACACAGGACAAATATGACTTGCCCATGGTCACACACCAAACTGGTGTCAGATCCAACATATTGGAACTTAAGTCTTGGGGGCTCTCGAGACAGACTCTGGTCATTCCAGATCCAACACCTGGTTCACCAAGGAAGTGTTTGCAGCCCTAAGTGTGGACTAGCCAGCCAGGGACATGGATTGACCCCAGATGTCTGTGCAAAGCTTGCCCCGAGAGGAAAGACTGGGGAAGAAGGGGGAAATTTAGAAGATGAAAATTTAGCAAAGAAAGAGCCAGAGGACAGAGTAGTTAAGGAAGGCTTCCTGGAGGAGGAAGACTTGAATAGGGGGGTTGAAAGAAGACAAACATGGATTAGCAGAAGGGAAGGGAGAGGGTTGTCCAAGTTTCAGAAGTTCCATCTGGGCTCCTATAAGAATAGATCCAGGCTTCTCCAGTCTCCAGGCCCCTTATATGGAAAACCAAACATCCACACTACAGTTCCCTCTGCGCTGAGGCAGGAGTTCATCTGCATCCCTTTGCCTCTTTGCTCCCACTGAGGTGAACCTAAAGAGATGCTGGGGCATCTGAGATTGAGATGGGAGGAGAGCTGGGTGTGAGGGAAACAGACCCCCAGCCCTCTGCAGAGCTCCACTTCTGGGCCAGGAGTCCCCGTCCAGGAAAGCAAGGCCACGGCAGCCTGCCTTGGGCCGAGTTCTGCCTTGATGTGGGACCACCGTTCCTGTGATCCAGCAAAGCCAGCCATGCCCCACTAACCTGTGCTTCCTCTGGGAGCAGGAGCTCTTTCTGCCATGCAATTCCAGCCTCTGCCCCAGCTCACAATTCACTCTCCCTACCACAGCCAACCCACTTTCAGAGCAGTAGAGATTGGCCCAGACCAGAACCTCTCTGTCGCTCAAGTCACAGGAAACAGCCAGGAACTTCAGATGCAGAATGGAAGCAGGTGAGTAAGAGGATACCTTCTGACCTACAGAGGCTAACTAACACTGGAAAGCAGCTCAGGGTTGCAGCAAGGGGAACACGAACCAGACAACAGGAAGAACTAGCCAAGCAGTTCATTAAATGTCTATGGTTATGAAATATCATTTTCAAGCTCAGGTAGGGCTATTCTCTATTGACTTTTTTCTTTAATACGACATGCACTGTTCTGCTCGAAGGCAGAGGAATGAACAGTGACCTTCTCTCTCCCTGAACTGTCAAAGATTAACACCTTACACGGCTGCTTCATGCTCCCTAATGAGTTGCCTAGTAGGCAAGAGCCTGAAAGTAGCTTTGTACTTTTCCATCACTTCCCCAGGCCGAAGCACCCCCTTCTAATGCTCCAAAGATGGTTCGCCAGTCCTCACCTCACCACCCCACACTAGAGCACAGCTGATTCAAAACAAAATCTCCTGCAAGGCAGCCAAGGCTCCAGGAGCAGGCTGGCTTCTTAGCATTCAGGACGCTGGACAGAGCCTTACCACAGTAACTCTTGAAAAGGTGCAGGTTAGTGTCAGAATGGTTATCTGCGTGATTCCATCAAAATCCTGGTCTGTTTGGAAGGGCAGCCATGCTGCAGGTTCTGCTCCCTGCCCACCCAGGGTTCCAGGAGCCCAGACTGACTTTTCACTGGGAAGGGTTCCATATGCTGTAGGTGCATGCACAGCAACACGAGCATTGCATTAAATGGAACCACACTGAGTATTAATGCAGTTCTACACACACCCATGATGAAGGCTCGGGGGATGGGATTGAATCAGCAGTTCACAAAGGCTGAGTTCAAACCTCCCAGCCAAGGGGAAAGCAGAAGTCACAGGATCCCGTGTCTCTCTTTCAGATCCTGTCTCTCAGGCTCCCTGGTTTCCCTGCACTGTCTTGGTGAGTACGCCCTATCTCTGAGGGTCTGGGGCTTAGGCCAACAATGATTAAGAAGAAAGACCTTCATCCTCACTGCTCTGTCTCCTGGTCTCTAACTCCCACTGTTTGGGGCCAACCTTAGACTTGTAGATCAGTGTTCCTTCAAGTGGTCAATGCCAAGAACTCCCTTCTGCCATCTGCTCTCTCAGTTCACAACCTGAGTATGTTAGATTTTTATTGCTGTACCGAAATATCTGAGGCAGGATAATGTCATAAAGAAGTTTTGCTTAGCTAACAGTTTTAGAACCTGGAGGTCTAAGACCAGAAAGCCACTTTGGTTTGGCTTCGAGTGCTGGCCTAAGGCTGGGTGGTGGATCATGTGACGTGATGTGGGTGAAACAAGAAACCAGACAGCGGGGTGGGCTCTATCTTGTCATAAGTTCTCTAAGACACTTGGGGATTATAGAAAACAACTTTATCCTCCTCAGAGGGCAGCTACTCTGGTGACCTAAGGGTCATTAGGCCTCACCTCTTAAAGAACCCACCACCTCATCACCACCATATTCAGGGCTAAGCTGCCACTCCTGGGGAGGCACACTCAAACCATAGCCTGACTGTTCCAGAGACTTCCATGCAGGTCACTGGCTGGAAAGAAGCTTTTATAAAGACCATGTGACACAGTCCATATGAGTGTAGACCCCATCTTGCCAACCAAGAAGCTTTGAGTGAGTGAGCACAGAGTAAGTTGAAAGCAGAGGCAGATCAGATAGCGTTTGGCAGACACAGGGCCAGGCGGGGGAGAGATGGTGGGAAGGGGCCTCCTTGGAAAGATCATCGTGTCAGGAGTGTCCAAAAGACCAGAGAAGCACAGAACAGGGCAGAGACATGGCACTGGAGGTTTTAGTTTAGGGTTTGTTTGGTTTTTAATTATGAGGCAGGTATGTACATGTGCCTGCAGCACCTGTGAATACCAGTAGAAAAGGCAGTTGTGAGCTGCCTGTTGTAGGTATTGGGAACCAAACTCAGGTCTCTGGAAGAGAAGGAGGCACCCTTAGGCACTGAGTCATCTCTCCAGCCCTGACATTGAAATTTTTAACTCAAGTTCAAAGGTCATATGTGAATGGTAGGTCAGAAGACAGGGTGGCCAATGGGCAGCTCCCTTAACAGAAGGAAGAAACCCAGTTCCTAGAACGTGCTTATTCCCTGATACCGAAGTACCTTGTGAGTATCTGTTTACTCAGTGGGGAGTTGCTAGGGGCTGTCCATTTGAGTAGGGCTTTCAGAATTCATGATTCCATGCCCTTGTCTGGTTTGAAGATGATACATTCCCAGCCCAATGATCACATCCATGTTCAAAAATCTAAATTCCTAAACGCAAACTACAGGGGAGTCTCAGGGACGCCTGTGGTGTCATGCTGGCTGTCTTCACACTACTGATTCAGTGCTGATGTGGGTGGGTTCTCCCAACCTTCCCGTACCACTCATGAGGGCCCTGCTCCAGGGGTCTCTGGGGAGGCAATCCCTCCCCAGAAGCCTGACTCTCCTCCTTCCCTCCCCCCCCACTGAGTCCAGTCTGTGGAAAGAGCCTGAAGACTCCTCGTGTGGTGGGTGGAGTGGAGGCCTCTGTGGATTCTTGGCCATGGCAGGTCAGCATCCAGTACAACAAGCAGCACGTCTGTGGTGGAAGCATCCTGGACCCCCACTGGATCCTCACAGCAGCCCACTGCTTCAAGTAAGTGTGACGAGGAATCCAGGAGCTAGAGAGACCATGCAGGGAGCCAGCCTTGTTTCCTGATTGTGCACCCATGCCCCATCCATCTCCTCTGGAAACCATCTCTAGGGTGCAGCCTTTGTGCAATGAGACATGAGCCATGATGTCCTTGTTAGGTACTGAAAACTCTGTGCTGGTCTCCAGGGTCGAACTCTATTGGGTGGAAAGCTTCAGATACCCAGAATCCTCACCCCATAGCATGCCCACTTCATTCATGCTGCCAAAGCTCTCCCCACACATCTGGGCTCCCAAGAACTTGTCTCCTCCTTGTAAGTCTTCCAGGAAATGATACCAAGATCTAGAGTCACTGCCTATGTCTAGAAACTGAACCACTTGTAGCGTATCCTTCAGTCCAGCAGAGAGGGAGCTGGCCAGGCCTTGTGAAAGAGGCTCCACCCAGGGTGTCTTCATTTTCCTTTATCCATTTCATTCAGCATCTAGAGAGTACCAAGAACCAGCCCCTTTAGGCCATGTGCATCACATAAACCCCATCATTGCCTTCAAGGTTCCCCATCTAGATCAAGGGTACTGCATTGTTTTGAGACTGACAAAAGCAGTACATCCCCTCCTGGGGAAAGGTCCTGCACACAGGTGGTGCCTGATGTAAAGGAGAATAAACAAAAGCTCAAAAGCTGACTCAACGCATGGCAATGCAAAGCTAAAAACAAGACTGGAGGAAAGATTTCAGGTCATGAAGACCCAGGAGTGGGCCAGCCCCTTCCCAAGTCCTCTGGGTGGAAGTTTCCTTGGGCACATTTTATGAAGAAAAGAAACCAGATCTCCTCTTCTAATCTGGCTTCAGGAAGGTGGCTCTTAGACTGTCTTTTCCACCACTCCTGTCCCTACCATTCCATGACCCCCTACAGTATCGGCAGACTTGGGGACTTAGCCCTACGTGCTTGGATCCCCCCTGATCTAACCATCTCTATCCCTAGGAAGTATCTTGATGTTCCCAGCTGGAAGGTGAGGGCCGGCTCAAACGAACTGAGTAACTCTCCGTCCTTGCCTGTGGCTAAGATCTTCATTGCCGAACCCAATCCCCTGTACCCCAAAGAAAAGGACATTGCCCTCGTTAAGCTGAAGACGCCACTCACATTCTCAGGTAGGAGGTGGTCCCTGGGCACTGGGTCCCCAGGTTAACCTTTCTCGGGTTCTGCTAAGGAGCTTTGGACACATCATGTTCCCGCTCAAGACCTCAGCTTGCCTGTGGGTGTCCGACTAACCTGGCATCTCAATCTCGCTCTAGCTGTCAAGCTGACATGCCCATCTTCCCTGCCAGAGATTCTTCCAAGTCTGTTTGCTCTATTTGGAAGATCAAGGTCATCTGCTCTTGGATCTGTCAGGACCCTTTTTTAAAGAATTGTCTGGCCCATTGCTCACCCCTGACCTGTGCCCAAGGCCCTGCCCAACAACCCCACCAGAGTGTCAGTGAGCTTCTGTTTGTTTTCCTCCAGGAACAAGGAACCTAGCATTTCCTGGTTTTTCCCTTGTGTGTGCATGTGCATGTGTCAGAAGACAGCAGGGACGAGGGAGGAGGTGAACACTTCAAATGATGCGTGTGGTTCCCAGGGACCACAGTGGGGAGGTTGAATGGGCAAGTCTGAGCATGCTTGAGAATAACTGTCTAGCCTCCAGAGGTTGATCTCCGACTGTTCAGTACCTACACTTGGGTGATGTGGGGCAGAGACGAATACTGCCTTGGCATATGAGAGTGAGGTGAAGGTATGTGAGGTCAGGAGTGGGAGGTCTAGATTGATTTGTTTAGACGCCAAGGGCCTCGCTGACAAGTGGTTTATTCTCTCTAGGAATTACCTAGCCTAGTCTTGCTTAGACCAGCAAGATCCCCCAACGTGAAAAAGCACCAAATATAAAAACTAATAAGCCATCCCTAATCTAGGCTCTCTTTCCTCCCCTCTGCTCCTGGTAGGCTCAGTCAGGCCCATCTGCCTGCCCTTCTCTGATGAAGTGCTCATCCCAGCCACACCAGTCTGGGTCATTGGATGGGGCTTTACAGAGGAAAACGGAGGTGAGTCTTGGGCTCGGAACCTCAGACGCCTTGCATGAGGGTCTCATTACCCTCCCCGGTAGTAATAAGAAAGAAGACTATCCTGACCAAATCCCAAGCAGCAAAAAGTAACGATGGTCCAGAAAATTAAGCTGGGCTGAGAGTAAAGAGGAGAGTAAGGAACTACGTTTTCAACCTCCCAGGGAAGATGTCTGACACACTGCTGCAGGCGTCAGTCCAGGTCATTGACAGCACACGGTGCAATGCACAGGATGCCTACGAGGGGGAAGTGACCGCTGAGATGCTGTGTGCGGGTACCCCACAGGGTGGCAAGGACACCTGCCAGGTGAGTCCTCCGAAGACCATGGGGCGCTCTGTGAAGAGGGATGTAGGTCCTAGGGAGAGGTGAACCCCTACAAGCTGGATGCCCACGAGAAACCTTGCAAACTGTGATCCTCGGTTTGTGATTAAAGGAAGGTAGGAATGTGCCCTGAGAAAGATAGAAGGAAGAATGGGTGGGTAGATGATATTTGGCTCTAGACAAGGGGAAAGAATCTAAGTAGATATTTCACATTTAAAGATGACATCGCTACCTTCTCCACCCACACTCAATTCCCCAACATCTATGACCCCTTTGGGGACAGTGGCACCAGGTCTATTTCCCCTCCCACTGTCCCTGTGCTTTATTAGAAAACTCATCTCATGCTAGGTGAGCTTTGGTACATGGACCTTCTCCCGTCTCCATGGCCACCGGGACTTGTGAGCAATCCCTGTGTATCCTCCTACCACCCCATTCCTCCAGAGGACCTTTGGAACCATTTTTATTCAGATTTCTCAGTCTGCCTCCCTTACCAGACATTAAAATCCTCATTCAAGAGCCGTCTCTAAATCTTCCCTTGTGGGCCGTGAAGAGATTTAAAGACCATGCCTGTCCTTCAGGAACTCATGGTGGCCACACAGAGATATGCAAGCAAGCTGTCAGGCCACAGTGCCACTGGTCTCAGAGAGAGGCAGTGCGTGTCGATTTCACTACTTGATTTCTGTCATCTACTCGTGATTGGTTCTGTCAACCCATTTGATCATAAATTTACTGAGGCCAAAGATCTCTTTTCAAGTCCATTGAATCCCAGCTATGCAGAACGGGACCTACCATAGACAGAAACTGGACGGCAAGTCAGTAGATGTAGGAACTTCTGGACTTTACTTTGCTAGTGTGACTTAGGAGCCTCTGATAAGGCAGGCAGCATGCCCTTAACTTACCCGCCCACAGATGGGCCATTTCTCCCACAAGAGTAACAAACACTGAACAATACGAACAAGAAGGAGGGTAGAGAAGTGAGCATGCGCAGAACCATGGAGGGTAGAGAAGTGAGCGTGTGCAGAGCCACGGAGAGTAGAGAAGTGAGCATGCGCAGAACCATGGAGGGTAGAGAAGTGAGCATGTGCAGAGCCACGGAGAGTAGAGAAGTGAGCATGCGCAGAGCCACAGAGTCGGGGGAGATCAAATGGACCAATTCAGAGATGGGAGGAAGAAGGCCACCCTTAGCCCGGCCTGCCATCTCCAGCAGCTCCTGACCTGACTTTCCGCAGGGTGACAGTGGTGGGCCTTTGATGTACCATTCTGACAAGTGGCAGGTCGTAGGCATCGTGAGCTGGGGCCATGGCTGTGGGGGCCCAAGTACTCCTGGAGTGTACACCAAAGTCACTGCCTATCTCGACTGGATCTACAATGTTCGGAAGGTGAGTGTTTCAGCCCGACTGGGAGCCCTCCCTCGCCATGTCTACCCTGAGGGAATGCACCATCCTTAGATTTGATTTAGGTAGCTCTGACAACCTTTTACATCCCAAGTACATTTCCTTCCCAGCAAGCTGACAGCCTGAGATCTCTCAATCGAAGCCAAGATTCCTTAGGTGGGTGATCTCTGTGAAATGCAAGTACCTTAGGGTACAGAACCCCAAGGTTTATCATTCTCCACAACCAGAGTGAGCCTGCTGGGCCCTTTCCAGGGAGATGATGCTAAGAGTATAGAAAGGGTTGTGAGGTGTCCCGGTCCCTAGAGGGGAGAGTGGATGAACAGGTGAGCAAAACGGTCTTAGGAAAGGAAGATAATGTTGACCCAGTCACTACTTTGTTGATTTGGAGTCATCTGATTCTCTGTCTGCCATTGTCTTCTTTTCTCTCTAGTCTGAGATGTAATGCTGCTGTCCACCACACCCAGAAGCTGCTTCCCCTCAGACCTGCCTACTACGTGGTCCCTCAAAGTCAGAGAGGGGACAAGAGTCTCCTTGAACAAGCTCTGGTATTTCTGCAGCAACCAAGGACTCAGACATACACATTGCAGAGGTGCCCAGAGTGGAGTCAGATGGGCTAGCTCAGCCACCCCTGCATCTCCCAAATCCTGTGAGACATGCAGTTCATGGAGTGAAGCCAGGCCATTGACTCAATTCTCAGAAGTGTTATTTAGCCAAGGAGACTCTCCCTTCCACTGAAGGAAGGGAAGTCAGCTGTCTCCTGAGAAGCCAGATCACTGGCTGAGAAGATAAGACAAGGGTCTGAAAAGCCTTTGTCATCTTTGCCCAGTCCTGAAAGCACTTAGGTAAGAGATCAGTCAGTTCTCACGTAAGGTGTGTATTTTAGTGTCGGGGTATTGTTATTGTCACACCTGTGGTCAATGCCATTAAACAGGTATGAGAAATCACTAGCATAGACTTCCTGGACTGCTTAATAAGAATCCAGCTAAGGCTGTCACACCTTTAGCCTTTGGCCTAGTGTTGCACGACTGTTCCCCAGAAAATGTGAACGAACGTCCATCTGACACAGAGCACCAATGACAAGCCAAAGAAATGATTCTGCCCGAGTCTCAATGGCTGAACCAATGGGTTTGCTGCGGTTTCAAGCAGATGCATGGGTAATTTGAAGGCAGCTGCCTCACCAGCAAGCCCTCCCCTAACATAGATAAGAATACATGAAAGAGACATCACTGAAATTCTGCACAGCGATCAGACAGTTTGACTGCGAAGCTCTGTCCTGTGTATCACCTCTCCCCTGGCAATTGGTGGACCGCTTGTGTGTGTTCTCGGAAAGGACCTCACAAGTCTTATGACTCTCTGGGCTTCTTGCACCTGTAGGTATCATAAACTACACCTCTCATTAGCTCCCTGTGTCTCACAAGCCCCCTCCTCTTTCCTGGAAGGAGTATTCAATTCCAAGAGAATACATACAATACTCCGCCCCTTCTTCTGGCTCTTACACGTTTTCATTTGTTTTGCTCTAACCTCCTCCTCTTTGGTGATGTTCCCTGAGCCTCAGACAGGCTGATGTAGACAGCTGCTGTCTTAGTTAGGGATTCTACTGCTCTGATAAACACCATGACCAGAAGCAAGCTGGGGAGGAAAAGGTTTACTTCATTCTATAGCTCTCTGGCCACGGTCCATCACTGAGGGAAGCCCTGGCAAAAAACTCAAAGCAGGAACCAGGAGGCAGGAGCTGAAGCAGAATCCACGGCAGCGTACTGCTTATTGGATTGCTCCTCACAGATTAGCTCACTTTCTGATACCACTCAGACCAGGAGCCCAGGAGCGGCACCACCCAGAGCAGGCTAGGTCCTTCTCTATCAGCTTGCAATTATGACACCGCAATCTGGATGGAGGTGTTTTCTCAGTTGAGCTTTCTCTTCCCACTTGATGCAAGCCATGTCAAGTTGATGAAGAAACTAACCAGGACAGGTAGTTATTTTCTGCCACCTCACTAGTGGGGCCACTATGCGACAGCAACTGTCACTTACTCTTGACAACTTGTTGTAAGTCTCCAAAGTAGCCACTGCCAACTACAAAAAAAAAAAAAAAAAAAGAAAAAGAAATTTCCCTCCATAACTAAGGCCGACGGCAGCAGTGATCTATAGATATAAACAGAAACGTCTAGAAGGCAATTTGATAGACATATCATATTCGTTTGTCAATGACAATAGCTTCCCCCTTGGATCCAGGAGCCTCTCTTGCAACAAATCTTTGTTCTGACTTACAGCGTCAAACGTGAGTTCTCTCCTGTGCAGCAGGACTTAAATCTCACTAGAAAGCAGTTAGCTATACCCATCACAGTTGGCCACACCCACAGCAGTTGTGTTATACCCATCATAGTTGGCCACACCCACAGTAGTGTCACACCCATCACAGTTGGCCACACCCTTCATGGCTGGCCATACCATCACAATTGGCCACACCCATCACAGTTGGCCACACCCATCGTAGTTGGCCACACCCATCACAATTGGCCACACCCATAACAGTTGTGTTGTACCCATCATAGTTGGCCACACCCATCACAGTTGGCTCCACCCACAACAGTGTATCATATCCATCACAGTTGGCCACACCCTTCATGGCTGGCCACACCCATCACAGTTGGCCACACCCATCACAGTTGGCCACACCCACCACAGTTGGTCACACCCGTAACAGTTGTGTTATACTCATCATAGTTGGCCACACCCATCACAATTGGCCACACCTATCACAGTTGGCCCCACCCACAACAGTGTATCATATCAATCACAGTTGGCCACACCCATCACAGTTGGCCACACCCTTCATGGCTGGCCACACCCATCACAGTTGGTTACACCCATCACAGTTGGTCACACCCATCACCGTTGGCCACACCCATCACCGTTGGCCACACCCATCACAGTTGCATCACTATAGCACCACAGCCACATCTTATCTGGCATATCGATGATGAAGCACAAAGGGTCAAATAACAGCAGGACTGTCAACAATTCCCCTGGCATAGGCTAACACTTTCTGGCACTGAAAAAAGACATGGAGCAGGGAGTAAGTTTCCAGAGCAACCCCAGCCTCATTTCTCTCTGTCCTATAGCCGAAGTGTGTGACGTCAACAATAAGAACTCGCCATCTACCTCTGGCATACCACCAACAGCAATGGCAATAACATTTATGGATTAAGGGGCCCCCTCAGGGGCTTTGTGGCCAACAACTCATAAGGCAGTAATTCACCTCTGGTACAAAGTTTCTATTCGGTAACCTTATGGCTTCTGGCTATGCCTCTTCCACCCACACAGTGTCTTCACATAAGCTCTTTAATTGCTGGGGTTTTTTTTTAACTGTTCTTCCAGATGCCTTTCCAAATCTGTAAGATACTCAAGGTTTAACATTACATAATAAAACTTTTTATAGAGGATAGACAGTCTCTCAGAAGGCCCACCACCATCTGCTCCAAGCAAGTACCAATTGGTCTTCAGAGTCAGCAGCCAAGGGCACAGTTAAAATAAAATGTTAGCAGGCTCCAGTGCCATGTGAAAGATGCTAGCACTGATACCAATTGTCCAGTCAATGAGCAGGGTTGGGTATAGCAGTATGGGGAGACATTCTCATCCAGCTCCCCATAATTGCCTTAGTCAGTGTTCTATGGCAGTGAAGAGGCACCATGACCAAGGCAACTCTTATAAAAGAAGCTTTTACTTGGGGCTTGCTTAGAGTTTCAGAGGTTCAGTCCATCATCATGGTGGAAAAGCAGAAAGACAAGGTAGTGGAGAAGCAGCTGTGAGTTCTACTTCTGGTTCCACAGGCAACAGGAAGAGAGAGATTGGGCCTGACTTGAGTTTTTGAAACCCCAAAGCCCACCCTCAGTGATACTTCCTCCAAATATTGTCACACTCGCTCCAACAGGCCCATATCTCTTAACCCTTCCCAAGCAATACCTGCTGACTCCCCATTCAGATATGTAAACCTATGGGGAGCCATTCTTATTCAAACCATCACAATAATTGAGCGTAATTTTCTATGTGTCCTTTCATCTCCTCACTGTGGGACCCTGCAGTGGGGCCACCTTGCATCCACCTGCATCCAGTGAGCCCAGCAAGGCTGGCTTATACTGCTTGGCCCAACCCAGAGCCAGGGTGTACAAGGCCCATGTTCTCCTTATCACTGGTACTGGCTTCCCACATCTGTCAGGTTCTCAATTGATACCATAACTGTTACTTCTCCATCAACCACATCTGGTTCCTGAACATACTGAACAAACCTTCACCCCGGTATACCTTCTTGCAGGGGAGAAACAAACATGGTGTTGCTAGGGGAGTAAGTGTATATCCCTAGGACAAGCTTAATACTTTTATACGTAGCGTTCTGCTACTACTACTTCCTTTGAAATTTTATTTTAATTAATTAATTTAATTAATCAATTTAATTAATTAATTATGGATGTTTTGTCTGCATGTATGTTTTGTCCATACCACATGTGTACCTCATGCCCAAGAAGCCAGAAGATGGCACTGGATGCCCTGGGACTGGTGCTAAAGAGATTGTGAGCTGCCATGTGGTTGTTGGGGTTGAATCCAGGTCCTCTGGAAGAGCAGCCAGTGCTCTTACCTGATGAGCCATCTCTCCAGCCCCATTAGATACCCCCTACACACATCTTTGGTAAGGTTTTGCTCCATGTTTAAAGCCCCCCACCAACTCCTATACCCAGAGGCTCACCTGGGTAGCATTTAGCTTTCTGCCATCCCCACCCCTTCCCCAGACTCAACACAACTCATGTCACATTTTCTTTCAATTAATGCTCCATTGTGTGTGGTCCCCTTTTGTTCCTATTCTCCTGGAGACTCTGCCTTATAAACTCAACTTACATGTGTCTGAATTGTTCAGATCTGTCAACGCCTCTTCTACATTGTAGAGAGATGGAATTCCACCGTGGAGCTCAACAAAGTGGCGAACCCCCCCCCCCCAGTCCTAAGATCCCTGCTGATTTAACTTCTATCTGAAGACTCACTGGCTCAGTGAGCTGGAGTTGAACACCGTGTCCTCTGTACCAAATTCCTTGGTGGTACCTGCCTTCCCTTTGGTGTTTTCCAGACCGTGATATTCATGGGGATCTCAGTTAGCACTAATCCCATGTCCCTAAAGGCTCACAAGAACCAATCCATCAAAGACTAATCTCAGATAACTCAGTCTCTGCCTAAAGGGAGCTCGGTATTGTATAACTCGGTTTTTCTTCCTCCGCAGCAGTCAGACTGATTTCATTCACCCCAAACAGCTCAGACACAGCATCGTCTCTCTGAGCGTCAGAGCTTCCCATCCTCGGCCATTACGAAGGTCCTCATCTGAGTGTTGAACAGTGAACGTTCTCGTCCTTTGCACTAAAGATTGGACCTACAGGGTAGCTTCCATCACTTCTATTTCTCTACCCACCCACGCCCCGACTGACTGTCTGATGCTTCCGGCAAATGAATTTCAAGTTTGGGGATTCCAGGAAGGGCTATTTAGCATAAACCTAAATTGCATTATCTTTTCCTTGCGCCCTGCCATCTGTAAGGCACAGCA